ATGTTCATACACACATCTGTGTTGTTAGACGCTATATATATATATATATATATATATATATATATATATATATATATATATATATATATATATATATATATATATATATATATATTGTCCTGTATTCAGTGTAGCTGAAATGGGTGTTTGTCATTCAACATTTGTACCATCAGTACTGGAACTTTGCGCTGGCTGCAGAAGATGAAGACGGAGCATGCATGGGAATGCCCTGAGTGATTTGATGTCAGTGCTTGACTCAACTCAACTCAGCATTCAAACATTTATTTTAGATGAAAATCAGTCTTTGCTGTCAGTCACAATCGCAACGCAGGCGTTCCATTTGTTATACAGAGACGGACAGTATTTGATAGTAACTTTCAACGTTTTATCTCCTTCAGTTTACTGTTTACCTTTGCACTGTTATTCAGATCTGAGAATCTAATTCACTTTTTTGGTGCAACGACAAACACACACACACACACCTGCTGTGGTTACGTTTGTGCTTATTAATTAAACAGTGGTAAAACGGTGGATATGTCAGTTGTGTATAAAACAAAGAGAACTTCAAACACGTATTCAGAGAACGCACACTCTGTATGTATGTGCGCGCGCGCAGGTGAGAGAGAGAGAGAGAGAGAGAGAGAGAGAGAGAGAGAGAGAGAGAGAGAGAGAGAGAGAGAGATGGAAGGGGGAGGAATTAGAGACTTTTTGTGTCATATCCACATTTTGACCACCAATAATGCAGCGCTTAATGTGGCCAGGTTATCAACATTATATATGCGATAAACTTTTTGCATCCATCTCAGGGGCAGGGTCATTGTACTGAGTACATACCCACTACTCTGTTGTGTTGAAACTGCTTATTAAATAATTATTTCCACATCTGTATGTTGGTTCGGGTGTATGGGGCCACGATATGTGTAATTTCTGCATCCTGTATTTGTTTTGTACACCTTCTTAGGCTTTAAAACATTGACATGATAAATAACAGCCAGTGTTTTCCAAGATAGTTTAATGTTTTACATATTGCTAGATAGAAATATGTCGCGGTAGTCTACATGTGGTTGTAACTTTGCTCTGTAAACAGTCACCTTGATGTTTTATATTAATGGCCGTTCACTTGCAGGTAGCGCTCTATTTCTGTACATTTCTCCTGACTACCTGGATGACTTCAGATGACAGCCGTGTCAAGCAGATTTCGTTGGTCTGGACGTCCTGTGTCTCTTACCTGTGTTTTAATGTCTTTGTACAAACTGCAAAACAGCATTTCAGTTTGTGGATATGTGAGGTTGTTTCGCTGCCTTATCATATTACGTGGGCCTGTGCATCAGCTTTCACACTAAAGGAAACGCAGGATTGTGAGCATATTTGATGCTGTAGTTATCCTTCGATAGCACCGGGCAACTCACAAAAGTCAACCTTGAAACAGCAGTCAGTCCAGCTACAGCTGTTTATTATTACCAGGAAGGTAAGTTAGAAATATGTTATCAAATGTTTTTGTTGTTGTTGTTGCATTTTAGGAAAATAGAATAATACATCACTCTCTCTCTCTCTCTCTCTCTCTCTCTCTCTCTCTCTCTCTCTCTCTCTCTCTCTCTCTCTCACTCTCTTTCTTTCACGCTCTCTTTCGTCTCTGTCTCGCTCTTCCTGTGTGTGCAGCTCTTTCACCGAGTTTACATTATGTAAAGTATTATATATAATATATATGTATGTATATGTTTTTAAAAACTATACACGCCACATCTGGCTATTGCAGCAGGCTGTATCAGGAAGACATCATCATTTGTTTGTCAGGAGTTAGGATATTGCGCATAATTAGAATAATCAACAAGTCTTGGCAACCTTGATATTTCCTTTCTAGAACCAGAGTGGCAAGCTTCACTCGAAAGGTCACGAGTAGTGAGCATATTTCGGATCTTTTCTCCAGGTTATGCCGGCGTGGTTGGTAATGAATAGGCTGACAGATTGGCTGGAGCTGCACCACTGGGTGGTGAATTTATCAGGCATATGTGGTCAAGGCCCTTTGGGAACAAGCAACGGAATAAGTAGAGATAGAAGATTATTATGACCTGAAGATAATGAGGCATCTGAGTGTAACCGGAGGGTCTGACCGATTTAATACACTCAGAGGAAAGGCAAGACGGATATATAAACAGATTGTGACCGGTACCATCAGTACTAGAACTCTGCGCTGGTTGAAACAAGACATGGAGCTACAGAGACAAGATATATGGATCCATGGTCGACAAAGATACATACATTGGATAGAAACACTATTAAGATGTTAGAGTCGACGATCGAGCCGTTATTACCAGACAGAACTAGAAACCAGGCGGCAGTTAAAGACACTAGAACCAGTTAACAGAGTAATTAGAGATGAAGAACATAGTGCGACCTCGAAAGTATGTAACCATAGTGCTAAAAAAGCGACCATTCAGAATACCATTGTTGTTGTTTGTGACATTACTGAAGTATCACAATACAATATAGAAAAGAACAGTTGTTTCCAGACATTTTATACAAGCATCAGAGTGTCGTGAGAAGCATATAGCAAGCATGACATCATCATCATTATCATTTAAATTGTATTATACAATTCCCTCGGCTGGTCGAGCGGTTACAATGTCGGGCTATCATGTGGGAGACACGGGTTCGACCCGCGGTAATATGATGAAGTTTTTCTGTCGGAAGCAAAATTTAACATATTACCCTGCACAGTCCGTGGCGACAGCACTAGCCATGCGGCCCTAAATTCTCAGGCTCCCGACCCTCTGTCTACACAACCGCATAAAGTAGTTTATACAGACAGTAGTGGTAGTGACAGTTTTGATTATGATATTCCCATACTTGGACACCGAGTGTAAGGATGGTCTGAGCTGAACGTTTGTAAGCAGTAGTTACCCTAACATGTGTTTTTAACTAACAGGCTTGAATAAAAGACTGGAGTCACAGAGTGTTTTACCTAAAACAAAAGGGGGAGCGCTGGACCAAGTTTGGGAAACACCGCTGTATACGCCGCCCCCCCCCCCCGCCCCCACACACACACCACCCCCACCCAACCTCAACACTTCCCATAACAAGGGCCTACGTATAAGTATTTTTACAAGTAATCATCATTTCTACATTTGAAAACAGGAAATGTTAAATGTCATGGACTCCGCAATTTGCAGCTTCATTTACATTTGATATACTAGCCCAGCTGCTGTTAGCGCCATTTCTGTGAGAGCAACACTGGTTGTCAAATGCACCAGTTGCGCAGGCTCCAGGGTGTGACCTCCACAATGATTTATGACTGGCAGAGTTCACATAAGCCAGGCAATCCATTACTGTCTCAATAAACTCGACCGTGACATTAGTGTAGAAGATTGCCAGCGCATGCACAGCTGGGTTTTACTTTTGTTAACGACACACTGGAGAAGTCTCAACTCAAAGCCACCTTTCAACGCATGTGTTCACTTTTACACACCGTATATATTTGTAATTGTATCATAAACAAATATCAGTCCAAACTAGAAAAGCAAGTCAGCTTCAGATTATTGCGGTCACGAACGTTTCTGCTAGAAAGAATTCATTAATTTACAACACACACAGATCATGGGTTACAAACAAAAATACACAAAATCCCTCACGTGTAAGATAAGGTCCGTCACAAAAATATTAAAATTTGTAGAAACTGCACGCGTGGCTGTTGGACAGAAATAGTGGACTTATAGTGGTGCCTCGGCGTACGTACTGAATCCGTTCGGTTATGTGACATAGTCTATATACTGTTAGTTAGTTGCATATCCTTTACAGGACATTGCAGAACCAACCCCAGCATTCTTTTGCTGTTGTGATTTTTCTAATCAAATTTACGTCCAGCATTTTGCCATTGCTTTTTAGACGGTCGGCTTCTCGATACCACTGTAGAAACCAAGGCAAGGCGCAGGGCCTGCTGCTAGGATCGAATCCGTTCGCAACGCCTAAGAAACAGACGCCGACAGTATATACTGCATAATATTAAAATACAAAAATACAAAAGCAATAAGACGAAATAAATAAAAAGTCAACCTCATTTTACTTCCCTGAGAAGATTCGAGTACTTAGCCATGATGGTACTGAGAAGGGAGGAGGAGATGTTATTAGTTGAAAGGAGATTTTCCCTCCAATGAAACTTCGGGAATCTAAAAGCCTTGTAAGTGTGTGCGCGTGCGCGCGTGTGTGTGTGTGTGTGTGTGCGTGTGTCCTCGCTGCGTGGATCTGGTTGAAGCTTATCAGGTTTGACTTTTACTAAAAATCTGCCTACAGAACTTGGCTTCTACCTTCTCATGAAGTTTTAGAAATGTGACGTTGTCTGATCCTTTCAGACAATGCTGTTACTGCTTGTTTGGGATTTATTGGGGTCATACTTCTCTGCAAAGTCTTTGACATCTATCTATGGCTTTGTCTCAAAAGGAGTAAGTAATGGTAGCATACAGTGTTGTGACTAATTCTGATACATGTTGGTGTTTATAACAAAGGTCGTATTCAAGCAAACCAGACGGTTGCAAAGTTGAACGTATGCCAAAGCGAACGTATTCCGACACAACACTGAATGTGATGTGCTAGTGATACAGAGAACTAACTGCCATAAATCAATGTAGAGAATCTGTTTAAAACAGACCACTACTTACTTAAGAAATAGCAAAAAATATTTTGTTATTCTTTTTCATCAACAATATACCTGTCTGCCATTTCGTGTCTACGTGTGTAAGAGTGAATGTATGTATAATCACTGACAATATCTGTTTTTTTTTTTTTTTTTTTTCCTTGCCGCAAACGCCAGAAGAAAACAACAAAATCAACAACAAACAACGTAGAAGCTTCACCGGTAATCAGAGACACTGTTTCTGCCACAATTCCACGAGAAAGTCACTCAACATTTAAACTATCATAGAGAAACTGAGCAAATCTGCCCAGTTTGTCCCTATAAGACATTTACTGCACGATTGTCCCACTCCAAAAATTACATTTTACAAACCATGAGACTCCACGGCCTCACGCCTGGCCACACTGTTGCCTTGCTTGTGGCATTCTTCAGCGCAATCAGTCTGCATCAAGGAGCACTAGGGTTCAAATATCACGAGTTTTGTGCCACTCCTCCGAACGAGATGAAGACTCGTTTCCCCTTGTATCGCCTAGAAGTTGACACGAAAATTGACGGAATCCCATGGGCATACAGACAAAATAATACATTGACTGGTAAGTAATCTGTCACAAAATACACTGACTAACGAGTAACACTAGTCAACAACCACAATGTGTGCTACTAGTTTATTTAATTCAAGTCATATATATGACACAAATTAGGCTTTGCGAGTCCGACTCACTCCTTATTCCAACGTACCACGATCGAAAACCCACTGCTAGCTACGTGGATTTTTATCATGGTGTACTAGAAGCGAAAAGCCCTGAGTACTAAGAAAAAATCAAGAAAAATAGTTCGTTAGGTGGGTATCCGAATCAGAAATATTCTAGCCTAGACAAGAGATCTTCTGTGTACAATCCAGATTAGCAGTACATAAAGTAGTATAAATAAACTAGGCACACTAAACACAGGTCCTAATCTGAACCAAAAAACAACTGAAACTATAATTACCACATTGAACATCTGTTTATTTCACTTAACATAAAATCAGCAGGGTTTACAAAATAACAACATTAACAACAACCAACGTGCTCGACCAGAGGCAGAATCTAAAGGGCTAACCATCTCCATCTAACAAGGAAATATGATGAGACCATACTCTCAGCGAGATTACCTCAACAATGGCAAAAACCGAAACATATTTAACATGTACGTTAAGCTTTAATATGCGGTAGGCAGCCCAAATAATTTCTAGAGGCCTCAGAGATGTGGTTTTACAGAAGAATGCTTTGAATACATTGGACAGCCAAAAATAGGGTTTTAAAAGAGGTGGGAGCCCGAAGACAACTTATCACAGACATCAGAAGGAGACAGTCATAATTTTTCGGCCATGTTAAGAGAAGAGGGAAAATAGAACATGTTGTGACCACTGGAAAGATCTGTGGAAAAAGGGATAGAGGAAGACAACGAGAGAAGATGCTTGACAGTCTTGTTGCACGGCATGGAGGTGTGTTGGCACACGAACTGATACATGCTGCAGGAGATCTCAGATTATGGAGAGGTATGATCGCCCACGTTAGTCGGCGAGGCACTGATTATGATGATGATGATGCCACCAGACCAACAAATTACTTATAGCGACCTGCCATCAAACTATCTCCTAGCCAGGGTGCTCAATGGAAATCAAATCTAACACTGCCTAGTCAAATGAAACGTACCGTGAAACCAGCCAGACAAACGGCCTTCCCCTGCAGTTGCCTGTACCTTCGCTGTGTAGCCCAATGTGCAGAGCTGCAACAGCTGGGTCGGTGTCCTGCAGGGTCGGCACGAAGCCAAATAGATTGCTAAAAGACTAAGCAAGGTCTTTTATTAACTGATGGCTGGCCAGGTTTCTTAGCGTTACCGTCTAAAACTAATAGCTGTTCCTTTGACCTCTTTGGCCTATGACAATGGTATGGGATGTCGCAGGTTTACCCAGCCTAAAATGGAAACCAGGATGTATGTCCTGGGGAAGTAAAGACGGCCGGGGTAATGCTGACCACACTACCCACCTAGTGCCGATTATTCTGTACAAATATGGGAGCTCTTTCCTTAATGTCTGATGCGCCTAAGGGCGTGAAAGGGGATCTGTTTACTATTTGACACAAATGATGCGGGCTTTTGCGTATTTTTTTTTATCTCTTGATGAGCAGAAAAATGTAACTAGCAGCTGATGATGCAGTCCTATCTATTGTTACATCAAATTTGTGTATAAACATCTTATCTATGATAAAAGGATGACCATAACAATGCTAAGATTAAACAGAATTAAAGGTCTATGGTTAAGCACCAGCGAGGAAACACAAAACTAAAATTTCGAAAGCAGAAACATATCCTTGTGAGTCGTAGACTGTCTACCGACAATATAGGCTTTTGAGCTTAGATACTTAAATACCAGTGAGTTCCCAATTGAGTGCACTAGGTCAAATGGCCAGGGAAACGAGAAAAAAGTGGAAAAAAAGCATGTCTCGATTATCCTGTGTTGTGTGAACAGAGGTACGGAAAATCATAAGACTGGAACTGGAGGTTTGAACAAAGAGAGAAGGCAGAGTCAGTTGTGTTTTGACCGCGTGAGAGGAAGGTTGCATGATGGTGCGAGTGCGATGAACGTCATTGTGAAACTGGAGGGCCAGCTCGAGTGCCTGGGGAGAATTGACGCTAAGTGACAACGTCGATTGTTATGTGAACATTTGTGTTATGGTGATTCAGATGCCATTATCTGTTCTGATGGAACGTCCTGACTGGCAGGTAACTGCAACCATTGTTTAACTGTCGTCTTGTCGTAGGAGGCTGTCGTAAAAACATGTCAACGACTGGGGAGAACTTTGGACGTCAACGGAACGACTGAGGATTGTACGACAAAAAATTATATAAACGACCATCTTGCTTTAAATATACGTGTCCAGACTTTATGGCTTTGGTGAGGCACGCATAAGGTCAAACAGGTAGAACGACGACTATTTCTGCCCAAATGATGGGATTGTATATACACATGGCTCTGTGTGGGGGGGGGGGCAGACGAAGTGCGTGGGGGGGGGGTACATGGCGAAGGCGAATGGACTTCGTTTGGTGCAACAATGCCTGGCATATGTTATTACAACGTCTAGTTTGAGAATGGAGGTGGAGACAGTGACTACTGCCTTCCGCTGGCTTTAGAATCAGCTTTACACACATGTCGTCATTTTTACTGACTTACAGAGCATGCTGAGAAACGTGGAGATTGGCAAGCTCCATGCAGAGTGGCAAGCATCACTTCAAAGGTCCCCGGTAGTTAGTATCCTTTGGATATTTCTCCAGGTCTTGCTGGTGTGTTGGGAAATGAGCAGGCAGATAGACTGGCCGGTTGTGAACCACTTAGTGGTGAACTGATTTATGACAAGCTGGATTTTTGAGGGCCCCTTGGGAGCCAGTAAAAAGTGCCTAGGAACAGATAGATCATTGCGGTTTGAGGAGAATGGCACTGCGAGGAGTTACAAGGGGATCTGGCCGACGCTCGACACTCAAGGGGAAGGCTTGACGGATATAAAATTAGACAGTTACTGATACCAACGAAATTTTAACTCTTCGTTTGCTGCTGGAGATGGGGACAGGGCGTCTATGGGGGTGTACCGAGTGCTGTGATGTCGATTCTTAATTCAACATTCAACATTCAGGTTTCAATAGGGTGTAGAGAAGCTAGAAAGCGTTAGAAAAAAAAAGTAGGAGAATTCAAGAGGTGTGCAGCAAATGAAAAAAAAAAAAAGGTTAAATGGGAACATTTTTTGATCGAAATTGGAGGGGATAAATCACTGGGTATTTTTTGGAAACTTCACAGGCAAATGCAGAAAAAAAAAAAAAAAAAAAAGATCGGCCTATTACAACAGGCATTGTACACTGATAATAGTATACCAAAAACAACTCACAAAGTGAAAAGGGAAGCATTTTTTAAGAGATTCATAGCCCATACATACCATAAACACAGCTACCTAACCCCACTTCCAAAACCAGGCAAGGATCGTTCCAAAACCAGGATTATCACCCTACAAAATACTTTTAGCAAGGTGCTAGAGAAGATTGTTGCTGTTAAACTACAAATGTTTTTTGGAAAGGGAAGAGCTCCTGCTACAAGGTTCGGGTAATTGCCAACCAAGAAAAGATAACTGGTCAAACGCTGCTACCTTTGCTATTGATGTTTATGAATAGACAGGAAACGATTGTAGCAGCAGTTGATCTCAGGATGCTTACAATAGAGTCAAATAGGATATTTTGATTTCTATGCTCGTGGAGAAGGTGTTTGTCTCTGGCTTGTGAACTGGACAGCAGCTGTCCTGCATTTACGCATGCGTGCCCTTCGCCTCTGTACATGGACATCAGAACCCAGACTACCCCAGAGTTCTGCAATCTAACCAGTGCTCTTTAGTGTGTATACAAGCAAAATTGCAGAACTTGAAGCACAACTGTTGGAAATCTATTGACATTTATAGATGATGTTCTTGCAAAAAGGCAGAGTAGTGATAGGTAACAGACATTCCAAGAGCTACAGACAACTGTAGACAAAGTGCTGATTGGTGGACAGAGATGAGAGATCTCATCAACTCAGAAAAGGCAGCTGTTTTATTGTGCTCTCTGGGCCATAGCTAATGTTTCAAGCCTCACAATTAATGACAGAAGCATCAACAGAGAAAGCAAACTAAGGTACATGGCTTTCCTTTTTTTCAAAGAAGCCTGTCCTATAGGGATCATGAGGGGGAAGTTGGGGTCCAATGCCAAAAAAAGACCTAATGATCTCAAGATTATGGTAGCAATGGACATGGAAAAGAATGTTGTTCACAATGTTCCAGCATCTCATCATGTCGGCGATAGATTATGGATTTGGAATGCTTACCATATCAAAGACTCAGCTGATGAAACTTGAACACATATAGAACAGAGCCAAGTGGGGGGTGTCCTGAGTGCTATGATGTCGATTCTTAATTCAACATTCAAAGTAGGTCATCTTTCTGCGTGCTACATTTCTGGCGCGTGCCACTACATTTTTGGTTTAATGGCAGCCCTCAAAATCAGTCAAAAACTTGACAAGTCGAGGCTTTTTTTTTTTTTTTTATTGATTAATTCAAGACGAGTCTTGAATAAATTGCTGAATAATAATATGTTACATCCATTCTAGTTAGTCGTGCAGTTCATGTGAACGGAAGTTGTAAAAGATATTAGATAGCATAAACTTAACACTTGTGAATGGAATGATGTGGTTTCCTCTTACTTTTGCACCTAACGTAATGACTCTTCCCCCCCCCCCCTTTTTCTAATTCATCGTTAATAGCAAATGTTGACTGTTACAACAATTAAGTTTTCTGCACAGCGTTCTTTTTTCGGCAAGATTATGTTCAGTTCCCCTGATTTAGATTTGCCAAATTTGTGTGTGTTGCTTATCTTCTGTCACTGACAATAAAGAAAATAAATCTTATTCGTTATAAAAGTTCAGCCAGTGCTGATAGACCCTATTACACATCACGTAGACAAGCAACAGCCAGTTCTAGCATCTCTACATGCCATTAACAAGTTTACGCTCATTATGTTACAGTCTCTGTGAAAGCCTTGTATGAAACGTTCAAGATCAAACAGATCTTTATTTCTGTGCCTTCAATGACAAAAGGTACAGCTGAGATTCTTCCCAAGAAAATTCATCTCGGGGAATGGAAGTGGGACATGAAGGTAAGAGACATAATACAAAGAGGTCGGGTAGAAAAAAGCAGAGATGTGTAATGTAGGAAAGACGTGGACAAGTCTGCAATAAATCAATAAACTTAAAAGTAAGTTAGGCTTGCACATAGACAGTTAAGGATTTTTACTCCATATGGACGATTCAACAACCTTAAAAATGAAGAAAAAGAATCAACAATTGTAAACATTGTCCGTCTTTACAATAGAATATGAGAATATTTTTTGATTTTGAGGATTTATACAGAAACATAAGCCTTACTGAGGATTCGAACCTGGGTCTTCAACATGAGAGCCCGTCTTCTAATCGCTCGACTCTAATAATTTCAACAGCGACAACGATTTAACATAAAATTGCATTACCTAAAAGAAGAGCTGGCAACCCTCTGTCATGCTGCTTTATTGTGCGCTCTTGTAAGCTTCCTCCAACCCATCTCTCGACGTTGTCGGCCCAAATGAACGTATTGTTTATGCAGTTCTCCTGGAATTTTCCTTCAGCAAATCTGTTAAAAAGGAGCCAGGTCTTTGTATACGGTCGAACTACAATGCCTGTTGTACTTTTCTCACCCACTTCAAACCGTTTCAATTTTTTTCTCTGTTATTGTTTCTTCTTTGCTTGCTATAAGATTCTTTCTGCTTGTCTTCAAGGCTAACACCAATCAACAGGTCCCTAAGAGAATGTCGCTCTCTCCACGGTAAGCCTGAAAGTATCTCTTTCTCTAGCCAGCTCTCCAGCACTATGTGCTTTCATAGCCGGTGCATCTTCAATGGTGTGCATCTATCTTCGTGGATATCGGCCTCTGTTTTGTTTGTCTTTATAACGACACTTTAAACATTACAGTTTCCCCATTGCATTCAGTTCGTGGTCCCTATCTCTGTACCTTGCAATAGTTAAGAGAAAATTTAATTTAAAAAAAAGTGATTTGGGCGCTCTTAGCTTACCACCGGAACTGGTAAAGTGGAGTGACATGATAACTGGTGTCCTAGCGTGCATTCAGTTCATTCATTCATTCATTGGCACCTTTCCGTCTTTCCAGACGATAGTGTTATATCGCGCTATGAGGAGGCATGAGACTCACGGCCCATGGCGATGGCGAGTGAGACTAGCAAGACCCGCTTGTGTCAAGAAAAGTCTTCCACAATGATAGGATTAAAGCCAGGGATGAAGTTCCTCTCTATAGCACAAAGCCTAGGCAGTATTGTAGAGACCATATGTTGCCCATGTGTAATGATCCCTTCCTCGACCTGCCTTTTTTACTCCAAAAGAAAGGCAAAACCAGAACGCTTGGAACGAGGCAGGTTGCAGAAGCTGCCGGATCAGAAGAGCAATGCTTTATTCGTCTGCCTCTCAGAGCTTCCCTCTGAGACCAGCTGCCAGCCAAGGCAAAGGGCTTGGTCTGCCCTGCCATAACACAAAGTTTTCAGGTCGCATTTCCTTCCTAGGATAAGGCTAGTATCACCCCCCCCCCCCCCGCGCAATACGCTCCTCCTGAAGCCGTTTACACAATATGGGATGTTGGGTTAGTATACGCCACCCAACATTCGGCGTAACAGAAGACAGGTGGTACCGGCTACTGTGTACGGCATTCAGCTATATGTTGTGTTATTGTGTATCAAATGTGCATTCAGAATTAATTATATATCCATGTGGTAATACGTTCATGGTGATAAGAATGTCGTTGCGGCATGAGCAAAAATCAAACAAACGTAGATTAACTTAGAACGAGTCTTAAAGAAGTGATTTAATCAGTGTGCAAATGATGCTCTTGTTTCAGGGAGGAGTAATCCCAATAGACTGCTCCAACCCTACAGGAGGTTTTGGTGGTGCATCTAACGCTGTTAGAAATCTCTGGTGGTTCAGTAATGGTTTCTTCAATGTGACTGGCGAGTGGGACCCGCTCAACACAATCAGCAACGCCTATAACGTGGATATGGTTCAGTTTGAGTATGGCTGAAGAACTTTGTTATAGTATTGCATAAGAATAATACGCAATACTTTGTCAACTATTTGTTCAGTCATGTGTGTCCACTCTAGTCTTAGCCGTAGTCTGTTATCTAGGAATATACTAATGATAACAACTGTCGCTGACGAAGGACTCAGTGACAAAAAGGCAGGACATGGTGCCCGCCCTAATAAGGTAGCAGCATATGCTTAAAATAACAAAGTAAAGCATGCGTATGAATTTGCCACTTCAATGGGTTCAGTACTGCTGCACCCGAGGTGTGGTTCAGCATTTCTTCACCCCAGGTGTTGTTCAGCACTCCTGCACCTCAGGTGTACTTCAGCACTTCTGTACCCCAGGTGTGGTTCAGCACTTCTGCATCCAAGGTGTGGTTCAGCACTTCTGCCCCTCAGGTGTAGTTCAGCACTTCTGTACCCCAGGTGTGTTTCAGCACTTCTTCACCCCAGGTGTAGTTCAGCACTTCTGTAACCCAGGTGTGGTTCAGCACTTCTTCACCCCAGGTGTAGTTCAGCACTTCTGTAACCCAGGTGTGGTTCAGCACTTCTGTAACCCAGGTGTGGTTCAGCACTTCTGCACCTAAGGTGTGGTTCAGCACTTCTTCACCCCAGGTGTTGTTTAGCACTTCTGCACCTCAGGTGTAGGTCAGCACTTCTGCACCTTAGGTGTGGTTCAGCATTTCTGCACTCCATGTGTTGGCTGTGGCAAAGCCTTCGAAAGCACTGATTGGTGGGGAGGGGGGGGGGGGGGGGGTTATATAGCAAGTAAAGAAGCCGTATGTCTCTCACTCAGAGGCTCGTGAGTCGGTTCGGAATATACCATTTGGTTCACGTGTGAAATTGCTTTATAATAGCTAAAGGAGATAAAGGAGTTCGTTCTTTGTGCAACACTCTCGGAATAGCCTGGCTGCTGGGGAGCGGGTGGGGTTGCAGTAAAGATGTAAAGATGCTGTTTTGCACATTTAAAATGTTTAAAAAAAATGTAAAAACAGTGGACTCGATTGCCTTTAACGTGGCATTTCGATGATTTGTATCCCACTGAAGGAGCTGTCCTGCTGTCCAAGCATAAATAAAAGTACAAGATGAAATCTCCTGATTACCATGTCACAACAGTTAGGTCTAAACTGCATCACGGAAATATCGTGAAAATTATTATGTGTCACAGACAAGAGGATCTGCTTCATTAAATCGGATTTTACCCCATGTATCTCAGTCTCTCTTCACTGAGACACTGTTAGCCTTACGAGAGCATCGCACAAAGCACGAAGCTCTGTAACTATAATGACGATTACCAGAAATGTCCAAAACACATATATCAAACCCACAGCACGGCCTTCATAGCGTGAGGCAAATGGCTGACTGGCTGACTGGCTGGCTGACTGACTGACTGACTGGCTGACTGAATTACTGACTGACTGACTTGCTGTCTGACTGGCTTACTGACTGGTTGGCTGGCTGACTGACTGACTGACTGGCTGACTGAATGACTGACTGACTGACTTACTGACTGGCTGGCTGGCTTACTGATTGACTGGCTGGCTGGCTCATTGACTGACTGGCTGGCTTACTAACTGACTGATTGAGTGGCTGGCTCACTGGCTTACTGACTGGCTGACTGACTGGCTTACTGACTGACTGACTTACTGACTGACTCGCTGGCTGGCTGGCTTACTGACTGATGACTTGCTGACTTACTGACTGGCTGACTGACTGGCTGGCTTACTGACTGACTGACTGACTGGCTGGCTGGCTGACTTATGACTGACTGACTGATTGACTGACTGGCTGGCTGGCTGACTGACTGGCTGATTGACTGGCTGATTGACTGGCTTACTGACTGACCGGCTGGCTGACTTACTGACTGACTAGAGTAAAGAGTGAAAACAAAAGATAACAATTTCCATGGATAAAACCTCACTTCAAGAGGCTAACTCGTGCTAACTCTGAGCTCCTATGGATGTCCGTTGTGCTGTGAAGATAATCTAACTCATAACTTATACATAACTCATGCTAACCCCGTGAACAAGTTTGGCTGGACATACTGCGAATATGAGCAGCAAGAAATGCATTTACGTCACTAACACTAAATCAGTGTGTCTCTTTTTTGCGTTCACCGGCTGTAAACCCCAACGAAAATGTATGGTTGTTCGTCCACTTCTGCACTTTAGACTTGTTCCAGAACTTGCGTTTTGCATGCACATCCATTTTACAGATCTAGCCTTTTTATATGCAGAATGTTGGCCCCTCGCCTCTCAAGCACATTCACTCTGACTTCGAAAAAAAAAATTTTTTTTTCTCTCTAGTTAGACGTCTTCGCTTCCTGAGTCCCTTTAATAACATCCAAATTTTATAATGTATCGGAAATGTATTCCTGTTGGATTTCGGGAGCAAATAAAAATTCAAAAGTAGAACAAATCCTTTAGCAAACGTGAACACTAGGCATCCTTATGTTGAGAGTATTGAGACTTGTATGTCCAGATATGAGCTTTTTGTTTCCAGAGCCTACGTGTCACCAGACGAGGAACCTTCAACCAACGCTGGGGGTACTGTAGGGCCTGCCCCTGCTCCAGTCAGATGGGTGAAACTGACCTCTGACAAATACATAAACTTAGATTACATAGATCTGCACAGATGTGAGTATTCACCCTACGTATGTCTGTATATGTGTAGGCTGTAGGCTGTATCTAGTTTACAATAAGACATCTGGTGTTAACATCATTTGTAAGAATCTAGCATTTATGCAAATCCTCTGCATGAAGCCCATGAGATTGTTTTATAATGGATTATCAGAAAACTGGTTTACAAACCTTTAGCCTGGTTTTATTGAAAAGATTCACAGGTAGAGAGGAGTGGGAAAATAAGATGAGAACGGAGGCAGCATCGACATGTTTTGAGAGAGGCATGGGTCCAAGACAGCTTATCGTAAACATCAGAAAGAGACAGTCATCGTGTGTGGTCATGTTATGAGAAGAGGAAACTGGAACCTGTTGTGACCAGTAAATGTTTGTTGTCCTGATGGATTGGGACTTCAAAGGACTCAGGTCATCCCCCAGTAAACTTTGTATTCTTGATGGATTGGGACTTCAAAGGACTCAGGTCATCCCCCAGTAAACTTTGTATTCTTGATGGATTGGGACTTCAAAGGACTCAGGTCATCCCCCAGTAAACTTTGTATTCTTGGTGGATTTGGACTTCAAAGGACTCAGGTCATCCCCCAGTAAACTTTGTATTCTTGGTGGATTGGGACTTCAAAGGACTCAGGTCATCCCCCAGTAAACTTTGTATTCTTGATGGATTGGTACTTCAAAGGACTCAGGTCATCCCTTAGTAAACTTTGTATTCTTGATGGATTGGGACTTCAAAGGACTCAGGTCATCCCCCAGTAAACTTTGTATTCTTGATGGATTGGGACTTCAAAGGACTCAGGTCATCCCCCAGTAAACTTTGTATTCTTGGTGGATTGGGACTTCAAATGACTCAGGTCATCCCCCAGTAAACTTTGTATTCTTGGTGGATTGGGACTTCAAAGGACTCAGGTCATCCCCCAGTAAACTTTGTATTCTTGGTGGATTGGGACTTGAAAGGACTCAGGTCATCCCCCAGTAAACTTTGTATTATTGGTGGATTGGGACTTTCAATGACTCGAGTAAGCTCTCAGCTTTGGGCGCATTTGCACCGGGACCAGATTTTAAGATAATGACAGAAATGTTGATTTCTTTTTCGGTAGTCAGAACTACTGGAGGCAAGCTTGAGGATCGCATTTTTACTATCCAAAAGATGTTGGGGTGAAGATTTAAAAAAATAATTATCCCACCGGTTTTCTCTTTGTATGCCTTAACGTATTTTCCAAGATGATGACTTCAAAATGATTGTGAAATTCTTCAGCCAAATGCTATATCACTAGATGCCACACATGTCTATTGTCTTTTCATCATCATCATCATAATTATCATCACCTTGTCAACTAACGTGGACTATCATGCCTCTCCACAATATGCGATCTACAACTACATGTATCAGTTCATGTCACAATACCCCTCAGTGACATGACAAAAGACTGTCAAGAGTTTTATCACGCTGTTTTCCCATGTTTCTATTTTCACATATATTCCAGTGGTCACATGATGTTCCATTTTTCCTCATTTCATAACATGACCACAAAATTATGACTGTCTCTTTCTGGTGTTTGTGATAAGTTGTCTTCGAGCACTCGCCTCTTTTAAAACATCTGGGCTGCTCATCTTAGCTGTCTTTTCTTGACTGGTAACTAGTCTCATTTCTGGGCTGATTCTTATAAGAGAGTCAGTGTTTTAACAGTCTCTGGTTCATTTTCTCCAAAGATCCAGACTTCATCGGCCCACTTCACAAGTTTATTCAAAATCAGGGAAGCAATTATTCGTAAAATTCGCAACTTTATATATGCCATAATCAGCCATTTCCCACCCTAGATGCAACAATGTTAAAATGAGGAAACTATTATAAAATTAACAGATTGTATAAGTAAACATCTTTTGGAAATTCACAGTCTGTCGTTTTGATCGTCTGTTTATTAGTTTTTATATGCTGATAAAGACTAATTGAAACGTATATTATGTTGAGGTCCTGATATGGGAAGCAATTTTTCGTTATTTCACAGCGCCACTGCGGCTGTTGTCGGGGGCCCTAATATGACGTAATGGTTCAATGGAGTTTCTGGGACTTGCGTCCGGGTGATTCTCATCAGAAAGGTGGCGTTTTGTGGCACCGGGTTTTTGTCCCTCATTGTGGGGTCCTGGTGTGATTGAACGTCATTCATTCGATTAAACGTTGGGATGTATTTATGTCTTTTCGTTTCCTGTCGTCGAGCTACGTAGTCATCGACTGTGTTGTTAAGTGACCAGAGATAAGCTCTTCTCGTGTTCTGTGTGATAAATTGTTGCCAATCAGAATCTGATAAATTTGGATCATTTTAGTATCACTGTCACTGTTTGTCTCATGTCAACCTGGTCAGTGCCAGATAATACGCAACTGTTCTTTTATGAATCTTTCTTATGTTCATTGTGTCGTTTGAGAAAGCTGAAAACTAACATATGAAAACGTTTTGTCACAATTTCTTCGTAGATCTGCGGGTAAACCCACACGCGCAGTGGGCCTTGGGTGCCATTTGAAGCAGCAGAAAATTGATAAGAATCACAGGTTCTTTTTCTTTTTATCCCGTAGCTTACCACCTGTTTCATCAGTCAGCATTAACACACTTAGCTTGCAGTTGTGACTAGTTGAATGTTCCCTAACACGAGGTCTTTAACCACAAGTTGACATGTTTGTTGTCTAACGTTAACACTTTCCTGGATTGTAAGGGTGGTCGCCATGGAGAATTTAACAAAAATTGCTAATTGTGACATTTTTCAGAACATTATATATTTCCATTGGTCACAACATGTTCCATTTTCTCTCTTCTGATAACATAACCGCAAAATGATGTGTCTTTCTGATGTTTGTGATTAACTGTCTTCGAGCATTCTCCTCTTTCAAAACATCTGGGTTGCTCATCTTTGCTGTCAAAGGCTCTAAAATGTTTTCTTTAAAACCACATCTCCGAGGCTTTAAGATATTGTTCGCTTTGTTTATTAATTGTCGAGTCTTCACAACCGTATGTTTAACTCGCTCTATATCGCATGCGATAATTCTTTTCCTAACCTCCAATAGTCGGCTTTGTGGCTAAGTCGATGCGAACGCTTCGCTTCGTAATGCCGGGATGCCAGGTTCGATCCCAGCTGCGGGCAATGCGCCTTGCGTTGGTTTCGACAGTGGTATCAAGAAAGCCGACCGTCCAGAAAGCAATGGCAAACTACTGGATGTAAATTGCCTAGAGAAACCACACAACAGCCAGGGGCTGTTAGGGTTGGTTCTGCAACGTCCTGTAAAGGATACGCAACTAAATAAATAAATAAATAAACCTCCAATAGCATAGATTTTTGCATAAAATGTTCTTTATTTTGTAAAATGCAGTTTTGGCCTGTACTATTCTTTATTTGATCTCTGTGATAATCTTCCGTCGGATTTTATCCATGTGCCCAGATACTTACATTTCTGTACTTGTCCTAAAATATCGCCTTTGACTTTTATTATACATTAAGGCATTCTTTTCTTGGAAATCACCATTACTTCTGTCTTTAAATTATTTAAACTGAGGCTAATTTCATCACTTTCTACCATCACCCCATCTATCAATCTCTGTAGTTATTTCTGTGGCTATCAAGCGGTGACATCAGCATAAAGCAGGCTGTTTGTGTTATGGCCACCAACCACAATTCCTGGCATATCCATGAGAGATCTCAATATATATTTACTGCATAATGTAAATAAATCAGGTGATTATACGCATACTTGTCTTACTGCCCTCTTTATGCTCTGCAATGCCCCCAACTGGTTATTAATTCGTATAGCTGCGGTTTTCTGCCAATACATGTTGTTTATAATTTTTAAATCTTTCCATCAATGTTTAACTCTTCCAGTAGTCAGATTATTTCTGTATGTTTCACACAATCAAACCTTCTATGGATTTGTACTTAATAATTAAAAGAATCATCGCCGGAACTACGAAGTGCGTGCTCTTTGCTTGATACCATCTTCAGATGGCAACGGAGAGAGGGGGAAGAGGAGAAGACGAGCTAATGGAGAGAGAAGACGAGCTAATGGAGAGAGAAGAGAGGGCACACAGACAGATAATGAGTGTCATTGATACATTAGTTATATATAAATCCTTCTAGACAGGGAAGGCATGGGCACTGTCTGCTGGTGAAAAATGGGGTGAAATATGTTGTTTTTGACCTGGGCCATTGGAATCATCGTACACTTGAGGTTCAGGGCATACAGACAGATAATGGGGGGTAGAACCTGGAATATAGTAAATGTTTACGCTGCGGTTGGCTCTCTTGTCACAAAGAAGACTTCCTCAAGAGTTGTAGTAAATCCCTTGTAATAGGCTTTGCATCTGTGGGGATTTCAATTTAGCAGAAGCTATGGTGAATGCAGACGAGTTTGTATAAACGACGGTCGGCCAACGAGACCTGGTGATGCAGACATGGCCATTGATTTGGCATTTGTTAATCAGCAGTGCTGGACACAAAATGGAGTGTCCTTGGCGATCACGTGTCTAACCCTATGCCATGCTCACTCAGTCTTAATTTCTAAAGCTAGCAAAACAAGGTTGTGAGAACGCGCAAGACCTTTCAGTATGAGATGGTCAGTACCCTTCTTGGACTACTTCGACAGAAGGTATGCAGCAAAACTACCACTTCTGCTTTTGTGATGCCTCCATGTGGACCCAAAAAGTAGAACAGGAGCAAAGTGAGCAGCAGTTGAGAAATTACAGAAAGTGCGAATGGCACCTCAAAGGTTACAAGAGGATGAAGAAAAGCTAGAATAAGTTAGAAAAGAAAAAAGTAGAAGAGTTCAAGCGGTGTGCAGCAGTTGCAAAAAGTAAAGGCTAAATGGGAACAATTTATGAGCGAAATCACTGGGTCGGTTATGGAAACTGCACAGGCAGATATAAAGGAAGAATTTGCCTATTACAACAGACATTATACACACTGATAATGGTATACCTGTGACAACATGAAAAGAGGAAAAATAATTATAGCCCAAACTGATCATAATGATAGGGAGCTTAGAAATTCAGTCAAAGATCTAATACTATATATGATAATTATTTTTAGGATATCATTAGAGGGGAGAATATAAAATACAAGTATTTAGCTAAAAGCAATCGACACTGCGCCGGGGCCAGACAAAGTCAGGTATGCCCATATAAAGAGCATGAGTTATTAAGACTTGAGGGAGATGGCTTTTTACTTCAACCAGAGCATGAGAACAGCTTCAGTACCCCAGGAATGGGTACACAGCTACCTAATTCTACTTCCAAAACCAGGCAAAGATCATTCCAAACTCAGCGATTTCAGGATTATCACCATACAAAATACGTTTGGCGAGGTGGTAGAGAAGATTATTGCTGTTAAACTACAAATATTTTTGAAAAGTAAAGAGCTCCTGCCAAAAAGTTTGGGTAGTTACCTGCCACGTAAAGATACCTGGTCTAATGCAGCTACTTTTGCTTTTGATGTTTATGAGGGGATCCAGAACAGACAGAGGCACTTGTTGCAGCACTTGATCTTGAGGATGCCTACAATAGAGTCAAATATGATATTTTGATATCTGCACTCATGGGGAAGGGGGTTTGTCCGTGGTTTGTGAACTGGATAGCATCTGTGTGGTTTCCCTTGGCCTGGGTACATGGACCTCAGAACCATGTAATATTTCCCCCAACTACCCCAAGGTTCTCTGGTGCTCTTCAATGTACACAAGCAAGATTGCAGAACCTGAATCACCAGGTGTTGGAAGAATATTGACATTTGCTGATGCTGTTCTTGCATATAGGCAGGAAAGAGATACGCGACGGATAGCTCAAGAGCTACCACCAACTGTAGACAAAGTGACTGATTGGTGTGCAGAAATGGGTGCTGTCATAAACTCAGAAAAGGTAGCTGCTTTGTGGTGCTCTCTGGACAATAGAATAGTAAGAGCTGATGTTCCAAGCCCAACAGATAATAACAGTAACGTCAAAAGAAAAAAAAAATCAGGTACCAGGGTATCACTTTCGAAAGATGTTTATCATATAGGGATCACGTGGAGGCAGTTGTGGGGAAATGCCAAAAAGGACTCAACTCTCTTAAGTTTATAGCAGCAATGGACATGGAACAAAAAAATTGCTGGTCACAATGTTTCAGCATGTGATTCTGTCGGTGATAGAATATGGACTTAAAATGCTTACCATATCAAAGAGTCAGCTGATAAAACTCGAAAGCATACTGAATGAAGCCATGCGGGTAATTCTGGGATGTACAAGAGATACCCCAGCAGTATGTATGCGATATATACCTGCACTGCCTACTATCACAGATATGCTCAAAGCTCTGCAGAAAAAGTCATATCTCAGAGTAAGACAAGAAGCACCTACTGCATGAAGCCCTGGGTTGGAAAGAGTAAAGTCTTGGATGGCGTAAGCTGAAGACACAATCAGACATGTGAGCAGGCTTGATAATTTTGAGCGAGGAGAGGAGTTGGTCAAGGTGCCCGAACAAGTTTCAGACTTGTGCGGGGTTCTAATCACGTTAGGTGGTGAGTGCAGAGACTAGCCAGCTTGTGCTGACAAATCATAAGTTCAAAAAATGATGCATGACAATTCCCCCCCCCCCCCCAGGTGATGTGATTATGTATAAAGATAGCTCTGTTGAGGCAGGCGAAGTGCATGGTGTTTCATAGCAAAGGCGAATGGACGTCGCCTAGTGCAGCAAAGCCTGGTATATGATATCACAACATATAATTTGAGAGTGGAGGTGAAGGCAGTGTCTGCTGCTCAAGAATGAGCTGTACACACATGGCGTGATTGTAACTGACATCAAGAGCATGTTGAGAAAGTTAAAATATGCTTATTTGGTGCAGAGTGGCAAGCATCACTTCAGAGGTCCCTGGTAGTTAGCATCCTTTGGATATTTTCTCCAGCTGATGCCTGTGTATTGGAAAGTGAGCAGTCAGTTAGACTGGCTGTCTCTCCACCACTTGGTGGTGAACTGATGTATGACAAATTAAATATTGTGAGGACCATTAGGAAGCCAGTGAACAGTGAGGAGGCGCAGATAGATCATTACAGATTAAGGAGAATGGCGCAGCGAGGAGTTACCAGGGGATCTGGTCGACGCTCAACACTCAGGGGAAGGATGAGAGGAAGATACAATCAGACGGTTACTGGTACCATTGGAATTGGAACTCTTTGCTTACTGATGAAGATGGGGACTAAGCACTTATTGGAGTGTCCCGAGTGATGTGATGTCGAATCTTAATTTAACGTTCAATCAACATTCACACAATCAAATTCTTTTGTTTAGTCAATGAAACATAAGTCAAGATCGTTATTTACTACTATGGCTTTTCCTGAAAGAGTTCTGAGGATGTACATGGCATTGTTTGTACCTTTTCCTTCCACAAATCCCCATTGTTCCTCACTAATTTCAACACAGTAATACATTAAACAAAAATTAACCGCACCAGTCTTCTCTAACACTGGTTTTGGTGTTTATTTACAATGCTTAGTTTGACTGTGTGCGCACTCCAGTTATAAGATTTATTCAGAAACTAGGAGACAGCAGTAAGAGCAATTTTCTGTGTGAGCAGTGTGCATCTGTGTGCGTATAGCATGCGGTGTTTAGATCAGTGGTTTTGCTGTTTAATAATTATCAAATATCACTTCTAAAACGAAAGTTTGCTATCCTGCATACACAAATCTTTGGGATCTTTGTCTTGAAAATGTTTCCTTATAATCACTTTTCAGATTTGAAGTCGCAGATAATTCGTGGTTTTACGCCATTCGTTACCAGATATTTATTAGAAAAGATTTCTGGTTTTTCACCACTATTTATCAGATATCTACTAGAGAAAACACCTTGTCCATCACAACATTTTATTATAATTTTGGGGGGAGATAATTTACATTCTTCTCTTTATTTTGATGATGATATTATCAAGCTGTTATTGATCTGGTTACTATTCAATCCAAATCTTTTTTGTTAAGGCGTTTAATGACTATGTTGATAACATCTAATTTTCAAATGCTTCTTCTTCTTTCCGTGTGAGGTCAAAGAATCCTTGGAGAGAAAGGGGGAAGGGGTGAATAGACCCCTACAAGTATGTCATAGAAGACTATAAGTGATTGCTGAATGCTAAGATAGGATCAGATAACACAGGTTATGAAGAGAATATGGGAAGACATGGTCTATGAGTAATGGGGAAAAATAGAGAATTATTTACAATTTTTTTGCAGGAAACCAGAATGTTATTGGTGGTAGTATTTTTTTCCCATAAAATAATATACAAGGCACCTTAGGAATCACCAGACCAAAAGACAACCAATAAAATTGATCACCTATGTATTAACAAAAAGTTTAGATCATCCCTTTATGATGTTAGGGCTTTCAGAGGTGCAGATGTATTTACTGAAGATTTTCTAGTGGTAGGTAAAATCAAGCTTAAATTAAAAAGATATATAACATCTTATTTTCATAGAAACCAATATAATGTAGGTTATCTCAGACATAAAGCAGTTAAGGAACAATTTTCAGAGACAGTCTCTAATAAGTACCAGGTGTTACAGCAGTTAGCTGAAGATCTCAGCACTTAAGTTTGCTGGGATGAGGTCAAATGAATCTGGAATGAATCTTGTGTAGAAGTTCTTGGCAAAACATAAAGAGTGGATAACACCAGAAATCATTAAATTGATTGAAGAAATTAAAAGCAAAAAAGGCAGACAAGCAATAGCAAAACTGGCAAAACTGGAGCTGCTAAAGCTAGAGCTCAGGATAAATACACAAAAGCCAATAAGGGCAGATAAAGTGAAATATTTGAATGATCTAGCACAAGAAGCGGAGACAGCAGCAGCAAATGGAAACTTCAGAGAACTTTACAGTAACACATTTTTTTTTAATGACCAATTTACATTACAGTAATACAAATAATGTATGCTTTTTAAATCCCCTGAGTGAACAGTTAGTCTTTATATGTGTCATTTAACGAAAATGTTTCTTGCATACTCAGTTATTAGATATTTCAACATAAAATTATAGAAACAATAAATAAAAAAATATTTAAAGTTCGCATGAAATGTTTAAAAAAATGTGAACGTTTTCCGTCATTATTTAGACTCTGTTTGAGCTCTCCTTACTTGCTTCTTATAGTCGATCGATGAGGTGTCTCTTGTCACAATCTAGCAGTAATCAGAGTAGTGTTTAGCGTTGTCTTTCAGCGGCACGGCGCGTATGGCGCGCATAGCACGCAGGAGCCTCCTGTTCCTCTTTTGCTGATCCTACAGGATCCAGATTCTCCTTCTACTAAGGAAATGGAGCAGATAAGGCTATAACTTTAAAAAAAAAACATTTTTTGGGGGAGGGGGTAGGGCCTGAACTCCCACCCGATAAATTCCCCCCCCCCCCCTTTTTTTCCACACCATATACACCCCAATAATTGTCTACCTTTTGAACTTATCAAGAGTGTAATAAATTATTATTATTGGGCAGTTAAGCATGACTTGAGCCTCTCGCTGACTTGATAGAATTATTGTGAAGCAGGTTAGATCTTCCTCCTCCCCTTATGTTTTCTGTGCTGCAGCGCGCCTGTTCTACTTAACGTGGACTAAACACTCCTAACTTATTCAGCATTTTTTTAATATTTATTGTTTCAGATATGAGGATGGTATTTGGACCCGCTGACTTCCACGGCCTTAATTTACAGCAAACATTTGATACCAGTGAAGTATAACAGCATCTATTAGTCTCAGACTAGGCTACAGTGATCATTTATCTTTGTTCTGTTGTTTATTGGTTTTGTGACGTCGGCACAGATAATCTGTGAGGACTGCATGTGTACAAGTTATACATGAAAGCGTTTTTTACAATGCTACAAATTGTTTTTATTTTTTTTTTATTTTAAGGAATTTGTGAATTCTTATCTTTCCTGGCAATTGCTTTTGTTTTTAAAAAAAACTCAGAGAAGAAATGGTCTGGGATAATATTAGCTACAATTTGCAGAATAAAGACAAATACAACTGTGACAATGTATTCGTTTGATGTGCATTTCGCAATTGCTGTTGTTTTCCCAACTATATTATTATTAACACCTGAAACTGTTTTTGCATACACACGGCTAAACTAGAGAAAAGTATAGATACATCAGCAGGGATCTTAATGCGAATTTTCATTATGCTATATACCTCCCCCCACACCACTTTCGAAAAAAAAAAATGGCTGTTAATTTTAAAGAATACAGAGCTTTTAGCTTGCATGAGTCTTGTCAGTAACTCAATCCTCTAAATACAATAATTAATTACAAAACAGTTTATAATATTACAAAATAATGCCGCTAGAAAAATTAAAGAACATTACAAACCTATGTGCTGTTCTTGAAGTCCCAGTCATAATCTACAAAAAAGAACAGAGTTAGATCAAATAGCTTTTTCACATTATATACTCAGAACTCAGAGGTTCGCCAGTATTTTAATACGTATATTCATAGTCTTTTTGTTTTTTGCAAGTTAAAAAGCCATATAAAATGAAGTGGTCGAAGCCACAATTGCGACACAGAGACATATACACTATCGGCATAAAAAGCTTGCACCAACTTAGGTGCAGAGGCAGCAAACCTCTGTTGAACTAAGCAAACACCCAGACTACAGTTAAAAAAAAAAAAAAAAGCTGCCCGGTGGTCTTGGAACAGAGTCCCTCTGTCAGCATGAACAACATGGGTGAAAGCCGAAAGACCATGATGGGAAAACAAGTCTACTGAACGTCAAAACCAAATTAGAAATTGGCTTCTGGAATAAAGTGACCTGAGTGCAGGTTCTCTGACATGGAAAACAGGAAAGTATAATAAAATTTCGAAAAAAATTAAACAAAAATTCTGTCCGCAAGAACATAACTAGTCCAGCATTGCATTCTATCCTACGATGAACCATAGAAACGGAAAGGCATAATTACCTCATGCAGCCCCGTATGTCTTCGAGCTTTAAAACACAAAAGACACTCGGAAAACAAAGTGTGAAGTTGAGCTGGATAGAAGACGGCCCAAATTACGTGTTTGTAACAACAACAACAACAAAAACGTGGAGAGGAACAGTAGAGAGGCCATCAGAAAGGAATTGGGGTTTGATATAGGAGTAGACAAGAGAATCTCTATGCTGGGTGTCCGTAAGAACTTATGTTTGCTGTGCCCAAAAACCCATATTGGTTCCTCTGTGTAGTTGTTGGGTAGATAGTTGAACAGTTAGACAGTTGCACAGATAGATGTATAGTTGAACAGCTTCGATAACGGAACAAACAACTTTGAACAGTTAGACAGCATGACAATTAAATATATAAAAATAACAAAGATATATAACAACTATAATACAACTTTTGTTGGAAACAGTTGGGGATGGGGTCAGATTTGTAAATATAAATCCAAACTTGGTTGAATATCAATAGGACGTATTCAGTATTTGCATGTTTAAAATAAAAAAGTGAGCAATCTGTAGTGTTGTTTTGGAAAAGGGGGTGGTCAGATGCGGAGAGGTACAGTAGAGATGCCACCAGAAAGGACTTGGAATTTGATAAAGAAGTAGGAAAGAGAGTCTCTGTGTTGGACGTCTGGAAGAAATCATGTTGCCGGTGTCCTAAAACCCATATTGGTCCCTCTGTGTAGTTTTTGGATGTTGAGTACAGCTAAAAAGGTGTCTTTCTGTCTCTATCCTCCTTATGTCACTGTTAACACATGAGGCATTCACAAGTGATTTCCACTGCTGCCGATCTGCTGCTTTTCTGCCCATGGTATCCCATGTCAGTTTACATTCCTTAATTGCCCGTTCTATTGTTCTTCTCCGGGTTTCCTTAGGTCATCCACGTCTCCTTTTCCCATCTGCTGTCTTCCGGAGAGCTGTTTTTGCCAGAGTGTCACAAAGCATTCTGCAAACATATCCAAGCCATTTCCATCGTCCTACTTTGATAACATTTGCCAGTGATGCACATCCTCTTTTCCACATTATTTCTTCATTTATGATCTTGTTTGAATAAAATATTCGTAGGATTCTGAAAAAAAAATGGAGGGGTGGGGAGGGAGTGTCTTTACCTAGTGTATTATGGTGTTTGGAAAGACCTTTGCTACGACCGAAATGTAGTCAGTTTTGCTACACAGGGACACCATCCGATCCCCATTGTATTCTATTGTGACCGGAATTAAGTAGATGACGTCCTATGGAAAAAGCGGGTTCTTTCCTCCTGACTGGTCTCGACACCCTAGAAGAATCACTGAACTGTGTATGCAGCCATTTGCGTATGTGTTTTGCCACTCTATTTCCAAGCTGTCTCTCCGTTCGACCGACTCAGTGATTCTTCTAGGGTGTCGATATTATTAAAGCTTCTAATAAATTCTTTCAAACTAATCATTTTGCTACTGTCAATACATTTGGTAGTCAACTTATTCAGATCTGTTATATAACTATTCTTTAGAGACTTGAAAAAAAAAAGGCTAAGTATGGAGGTAGAGCCGGTTTAGCTGACTGATTTCTGTTTTTAATATTTTCTTGGCAAAAAGACCTTTGGTTCTTCAACATCATAAGCTAAACCATGGGGCCAGATACTTGTAAATGTCTAGAAACTTGAAATTATCAGTAAACAAACATATAAAGTGGTTTTTTTTTTTTTAGACGACAAAGTTGAAAAAGGACTGAATTTTTTGAGACAAAATAATGGACGAAAAAAGATTTAATCAAATTCAGATCGTAGTTGCCAGAATTTAATCAGATAACGCGAAGTTCTTGCAATAATGCCTCTATTTTTTGAAAAAAATAAATGTATCCTTACCTAACGCTAACAAATGGTCAGACACACTAGAACTGAGTCCTTAGAAGAGAGCAGGCGGTATCACAGATTTTGAGCAGATAGTCGAGATTTTATTTACCAAGAGTTGAGGTCCACTTTACCAAGAAGGCTTGGGTCAGGAAGATGTGCACATTTAGGCTACAGAGAATGACATTTGAATATGTTTTGCCAAATACTGTACTGACTTCGAGGAAGACAGCAGAGACTGATCACCAAAGAGCATTTGAAATCACAACTCGCACAATATGGATAGGTCAATTGATCATGGGCTTTAACGCCATGAGAAAAGATTATATCTAGGACAATATGGAGTGTCGACATTACATTTGAAAGCATTTCTTTGATGACCACCCGTGCAACTTTTGGTATGTGTCTCTAGTGGAGATACCTGGTTTCTTTTCATCACCATCATCATAATTATCATCACCAAGTGCCTTGCCAACTAACGTGGACTATCATGCCTCTATACTATATGCGATCTACAACTACATGTATCAGTTCATGTCATAATACCCCTCAGTGACGTGACAAAAGACTGTCAAGAGTTTTATCACGCTGTTTTCCCATGTTTCTATTTTCACATATATTCCAGTGGTCACATGATGTTCCATTTTTCCGTATTTCATAACATGACCACAAAATGATGACTGTCTCTTTCTGGTGTTTGTGATAAGTTGTCTTCGAGCATGTTATCTCTTCCTGTGGATAAATATGAAGTGGAGTTTCACAATTTAACAATTCAGCAAAATATTTCTTCCATATGTTACACATTCCTCGTTATTATTTATCATATTTCCATTTTGATCTTTGATCTATAAATGTTTTGTTGGTGCCCTCGTTTTACAGCCTTCAGTTCTTTAAAAATCTTTCTGGATTCGTTGTTCTGATGGATAGCTTTCCTGTCCATGACAATGTTGTTCATGTACTCTCGCTTTTTGTGCCTAACTACTTTTGTAGCTTCTTTACATTCTGTTCTACATTTTGCTTTATTTCGTATGTTACTAGTATCATTTAGCCAGATCTGCCTGGCATGTTACTGACTGATTCTTCACATTTTTTAATCGAACTTATTGTTCTTTCTGTTTATGTAGGACACATCCAGACATTCTTCTGATGTGGTTTAAATTATATTCCTAATATCCATCCAGTTTTAGTCAACGTTTTCCTCTGACAGAATTTGTATAATTTCAATTGTATGTTTTAATTCATCTGCAAACTTCCCTGATATTGGTGTTTCTTGTAATCTTTCTCTATTGTACTCTGAATGTGATCTTTGTAACTTGGTGTAGAGGGATCTGTCTAACTTGAATTTTAATTTTGCACCAACCAGGTAGTGGTCACTGTGACACTCAGCTCCTCTGTAGATTCTAACTTGTTGTATGTTCGATGTATTTTTTTTTACTTAATAAAATATGATGATCTGTTTGATTAAAAGTTATCTTGTCACAAAATTGCCAGGTTTGTTAATGTATATCTTTTATCTGAAATCTGGTGCTGCTTATCTGTAGTGCTTTCGCTTCGTCGAGGTTGATTAATCTCCATCCATAATCATTTGGATCTGTATATAGGCTTTCCATGCCTGCTACTTTTTTTATAGGTGTTTTATCTTCCTGTTTTTGCATTGAAGCTTTCCAAGATAATCAGTATGTCTATGATATTCTCAAGGAGATCATAAAAATCGTCTTTAATATCATCTTCTTTATCTTCAGTGGATGCATGCACATTAATCATCGTGATATTTTTCCATTTACCTTTTATTCGTAACTTACTGATCCTATCACTAACAGCTTCAAAATGTAAAATACTTTCCCACAACTTTTTCTTGATAACACATCATGTCCAAAATTATTGCTTGTTTTGAGTGTTTCCTCCATAGACTATGATCATTCCATTTTCCTGGTCATCTTA